GAAAGATTGATATTGGCTGATCATTTACGCTCAAAGTTTCCTTCTCTGTCGAATTCGCCATGTTTATAGAGATGGAATATTAATAATTTGTAAGCAGTCAACAGTTGCTTTGTGCAGCGGTATAAACTTCCGGTAAATACTTCATATAAGGACCACAAAACAGTTTGAACCAAAAGAAATGGCAGACAAGAATGCTAAAGAAAAGTCGAGTTTTTCAGAGAAAAGGAGCAAACTCAGGTTAGAGACCAAGTTGTCAGAAAAACTAAGGATATCATTGCAGTCGTGCAAAGCGTGTGAGAATGAGGAAAAGATCGAAGGATTTATCGTGTTCTATAGGAAAAATACTTTGAAGTGTCAAATTTTAGATGGTTTGTTGTATATTCTTAGACAGCTTTTGGCTTCTTACGATGGCGGTAAAGCGTTTGGTTATCTCCCATACAGTGAAGCTCATGGGATATTTTGTGGCTTCATGGAACGAGAAACTGAAGATAAGGAATTTAGAGATCATCTTCTGAATGAGGAATATGGACCGTGTGTTTTTGTGACAACAGTGCTTAACACTCGATACATTATTTTGCAAAATGAGACTGTAGATACTGGAAAATTTCTTTTGGAACTTGAATGCCTTCTATCAAAGGAACAGGACAACTTTTCGAGGTTTGATTTGAATGCAGACTCACTAAAACGAGTTCTACAGTCTATGGATACAGAATATGACAAGACAGTTTTGAAGGCCATGATTTTCGCTTCGGCGTCAAGGAAGAAAGTCTACGAGCTTGGTATTAAACCAGAGAATGCTGTAGGTTTCCTTAACAAGTTGTCAATGTATCCAATAAATCTTATAAAACAAATGTAAGGTAAGTTTTTTAGTAGAGGGGGTTAATGGGGGGGGCTTAATAAATTTCTTCGTCGAAAAGGGAGGGGGCTTTTCAGAGAAAGAGACTTATAAAAATTGATGAGTGATGAAGACAATTGTGTAAGGAGCAACACTAACATAACTAAAGGTGATACAATTACTAAAATAAAAAAGGTTCCAGATATTTCTTAATGGCAGTGACTATTTTTCCCCTTGATACTTTGAATAGGTGTACATGGTTCGGTTTGTTCACGTTCAAGATAATGAAGAGGACAGTGAGCATTCTGGTCATTTTGATAACTTCCATGTGAGATCCAATTGTGTAAAACCCAAAGCATCAAATTCGAGCTGTCAAATAACTGGAGTTTCAACATCAGTGGTAAAATCCCAATTCCCAGCCTCTATTTCAATTGGTGAACTGCTACGTGCAGGAAAGCTTGTTGCCCCTGCAAGTAAGAAAACCGTATCCCTGGCTTTAGAGCATTTTGATATAACCAATCAAGAATGGTCAGAAGTACGAACACTAAATACATCTGTGTATACTAATAAGTTTGCATCTGGCGGCTTCAGAGATGCATTTAAATGTGTGGAGACAGGTCCTAATGGAGAAATAAAGTATTGGGTTCTTAAACTTTATAATGCAAATGCAAGAAACACGATTATTAATCAGTTGTCAATGACAATGGTTGACCATGCAAGGAAGCAAGTGCAGATGCATGAGGTAGCAAAGCATTTTGCTAAAAAAATGTCCAAGAAAGTTCCAGGGACATTTGGAAACACTTTTTTCTACAACAAGGTGTATTACACAAAGTTTGAAGACCAACATGCTACAATCGAAGAGTACATAAATGGAAATTTTGTAAAATATGTCAACAACAACGGACATTGCGTTTTGCCACCTGAATCTTCAACACAAGATGAGAAAGTGATCTATGAGAAAGCAGAAACCTTAATTGGTACATTACAGTTATGCACTATCAGAAGGAAAGATGATGTTGATTGATATTCAAGGATCGGGCTATGCCTTATGTGACCCAGAAATTGCAACAGAAAGTCTTAAAGATGATGATGATAACGACAACTCAGAAATCTTATTCTGCTGTGGAAATTTGTCAACCATGGCCATTCAGGGATTTCTCAATGAGCATTCTTGCAATAAGTATTGTAAAATGCTTGCTTTAAGTGACAACGTAGATGATAGCAAATGATTTGTCAAGCTATTGAACATGTTATAACTCTGTATTTCTTTATAGACAAAACATTATTTAACTGTCTAGAAAGTTTAAAGAAGAAAGTTAAAATAAGATGAAATGACAAGCGTTATAGTTAACATTAATTAATTTAAACGATTATGTTATTATTATACAGTTTAGTTGACACTTGTATTTATAGTACTGTAGTTTGTGTTCATTGGTTCTGATTTCTATAGTGGGCTTTAAGAAACAAAAAGAATCTGCTGCATCATTTGGAAGCACTGTTTCCACTTCTGGTATAATGCGTTCAAAATTTGCTCTTAGATTTGGTTCAAGGTAATCATCCCCATAGGTCATCACTCCAGATAATTCCGCAACTTCATTTAGATCTTCAGTTGATACAGGTTTCCCTGAAAATAAGAAAGAGTATACTAACAATTTTCTAATGCTCATAACGAGCTATGCTAACAATGCCAAAGGCAAGCCTCCTTTGCGTGCAGGTATATATCTTCTGCCAGTTATAATATCCACCATCCGCATCATGAAGGTCTGGGAAAATTAATTAAAAGATAGTGGCCAGTCATAGCACGCTTTGGTAAATAATTGAACCTAAGTAATCAAAGATAGTTGTAAGACTACAGCCTGCAATACATACCACATTCCTCTGCACCTCTGGAAAAGAGTACAAATGATCCGGTATTCCTTTAGGTAATCTTGCATCCTTTGGTTTCCTTACTCTATGGGAATTCCACACTGAACACCGAAAAGTGTCTAATTCTTTCTGAATAACCGGTATAAAAATATGCGCTAAGAGGCACCTATAGGAAATAAACAGGTATGATATAGAAGACTTAGTATAAATACACTGTATAAAGCCACAATGCAAATCCTCTAGTAATCTCAATTAAGTGCCCTGTTATTAGAGAGCGATGTCAATTTATAATGGGGATGCCAATTTTTGTGGTTAAAAAGCTGGCTTAGACAGTGTGTTGCTGTGCGTAATGGACAAATTGTGCTAATTCTCAGATGCAGGTGATTACTGCTTGATTATTTTACTTACCCATCATAGAGAGAAATCATAGAATGTTGTGGATTGATGGAAGAAAAAATAAAATGTACATTTCTTACCGGTCAGTGTGATCATTGCAGTCATAGTGACCTTGTTCCAACAGCGTTTGCAACTTTCTTTTAAAGTATTTCTCAAGTCTACTGTATAGTTCATGCCACCACCTTTCAATCTAAAAGTAATAAACCATCACTCAAGTAGAATAAATGATGGCATATTATTTAGGACTAGGTTTATATGGTTATGATCTGTGCATATATATAATCAAGATCTAAGAAATATATTTGTGCACAAAACACGAAAATATTACCAAAATAAATTAGGAAACACTGTCCTGCACAAAGTCAAATGAAACCAGCCCTGAATAGTTTTATTGTCTGTGTAACACAGGTACAAAACTTACTTACATTTTAGACAATAGGGCCATTTATACGAGACAAAATAAGACGCGACTTACATAAGACGTGACTTAAATAAGTGGAGTTATCACATAAATGGTTCTCTACGGCTTTATTCTTATTTACTTGCAATAGCTATAATGTTGTTTCGGTTGTTTTTGTTTTAATATGCAAGGCTAATAATTTTACGTTGTTTCATGTTTCGGGCATGTGTAGTTAAGATTTTTGTCTAAAATATCTTACCCTTACGAAAATTTCCTATAGGAATTCCTATAGGAAATCAAAATTCCTATAGGAATTCCTATAGGAATTGAAAATTCCTATAGGAATTCCTATAGGAATTGAAAATGGTCAAAAAAATTCCTATAGGAATTCCTATAGGAATTGAAATTTCCTAGAGGAATTCCTATAGGCATTGAAAATTCCTATAGGAATTCCTATAGGAATTAAAATTTCCTATAGGAATTCCTATAGGCATTGAAAATTCCTATAGGAATTCCTATAGGAATTGAAATTTCCTATAGGAATTCCTATTGGCATTGAAAATTCCTACAGGAATTCCTATAGGAATTTAAAATGGTGAAAAAATTCCTATAGGAAAAAATATTCCTGTAGGAATTCCTATAGGATTGGAAAATGGCTATAGGAATTCCTATAGGAAATGAAAATTCCTATAGAATTTGAAAATGGTGAAAAAAAATCCTATAGGAAATAAAAATTCCTATAGAAATTCTTATAGGATTGGAAAATGGTGGGAAAAATTCATAGCCTATATCACTATGGCCTGATACATGCATGGGTATAAGAACTTTACTTATATAAAAATTATACAGATAAATATAATTTACGAGATAACTCCTTCCTACAGGAATTTCTATTTCTTATAGGAATTTTTTCACCATTATCATATCCTATAAGAATTCTTATAGGAATTTTAATTTCTTATACAACTACACTATTCCTATATCGTATTTTACTCATAGACATTTATTAATAGAGAATTTAATACTGGGACTATTTATTTTCTAAGATTAAATGAATAATTACCGCAATGTGCGCGACTGACAGACTGGTGTCTAGTTTTCTTGCCACGCGCGCAAAGCATCAAGGGATAGATCATCACACCTCCGATATTTTTTCAAGTCAGTGTTTGTCAATGGTTTATGTGCAAAATAGAACTATTTTTGATGGGATTCAACTGGATTTTCACTAGTAATACATCAGGGATGTTTGCATAATGTTCAGGTAAGAATAAGTTTATATTTTACTTATAATAAAGCAAATTATAGAGGAAATACCTCCAATCTTCATTTGTGAAATTCGAGCATGTGGTTCGATAAAATTTGAATTTGCCGCGACAATATAAACGGAATTAGAATGCTGATATAAACATATTTATAGCATTTATACTTCAACAAATGCTACTATAAAAGTCTTATATTTGAATCAGACTTATCCATGTTTATTAATATATTTGTATATCCCAAGTGCCAACTGTATATGCCAGATTAATTGTAAATTGTCAGCCATATTTAATGCATGCCTATAGAAAATTTAACTACTTGCTCAAATCAGCAGCAGTATTTATTCATATGTTTTGTTTAAATTAAACAATTTTCATTTTGAGAGGTCTTGCACCAGTCAATGTATTAAAATCTGTTAGCCTTTAGACATGCTTTAGTGTAATGCCAGGAAAATTATCCATGTTTTTCTATTAATTAAACCACAGTTTATAAACAACTATGTGATGGTATTCAAATTAACCAGACTCTCTGCTAGCTTACATTTCATGCTAACTTGTTAATTAAGATGAATGTGCTCAACTTTCAGTACTTTTTATTTTACCTTGTCTAACACCAGATCATTTTACTTGAAAGAGAGTGGACAACTTTGATAGGTTACCTTGCTGTCTCCCTGTGTTTTGTGTAAACTCATTAAGACTCAATTCACAAATTCACACTAATGCGCTCTATTTCAAAGCTCAATATTTTGCCCTGTTAATACCAGACTATTTTGCATTATTTGGCGTTAGCACATTTAGATGCAATTCACCCTAACACTCAATCCCCACTTTCAGTACTTTGATATTTATCAGATGATTTTACTCATCAAAATGAATGTTGGTCATTGAAAGGTTAATAATTAACTGCAAAAGCTGCTGTGTGGCATATTTAGAAGCAATGTGCCCTACTTTTAGTACTTTGTTATTTTACTGTGTTTATTCTATTAAAGTGCTAGACTCTCCACTTAGAGTAAAATAATAAATTGGGTGCATTTGGGCATATTTAATGGGTTAACAAAACACATTGGAATGGTAGACATAAAATAAATGTATTTGTCTTTTTACAGCTATCAACAAAGTATGGATGTAAGGCCTCAGAGGTTCGTCAACATATGAGGACAAATATAAACAACATGGGAAAGTGTTGCAAAGTACTGAAAAGCAAACAAGAACAAGAACTTATTTGAGGACTATGTTTTGAGGCCAGTTTTAAACTTAACTTTAAATGTCAATTATGGTTATTACCTATGGTTTAACCCATTAAGCGCCAGCGCTCTGACGAGTAAAATCGTCTGGCGTTAGACAGAGTAAACTATAGTAAAATAATAAAGTAGGCGCATCAGGGCGCAATGCAGGGTCTTAGCTAGAGGGCCGTGTTATCGCAGCCAAAAATACAAAAACACGGCTAGATAAAATGAACGCGGCTTAATTAATTAAATAAGGCCATGTAGGTTCATAAAATAAGGTGTTACTGCTTACAACAGACAGCATTTCTTCCCATTTTCGTTGTAAGAAAGTTTCTAAAATCTACTGTATTTGATGAAATTGGAAAAAGTGATGTTTTAATGTTTTGATGGATAATGGGAACCATATGGTATTATATAAAATGGTTTTAAATACCCCCAAGAGTTGCTGAAAAAACTTAATATTTTAATGTCAGTACGCAATGTGAGCGTAGCCTTGTATTTGGTTGCAAAGCCTACAACAACCACAGGCATTGTCTGTTGTTGGCGAGCATAACTAGAAATACGCACACCCAGGTCATTTAGAAACACGCCCAAGATCTAAAATCCTAGCTAAGACCGTGGCGCAATGTGATTCAATGGGTTAACTAGACACATATATAGGAATATAGGCTAGTTAACCCATTCGGAGCCAGCATTTCCCCTTGACATTCAAGTACAATTGTCTGGAGTTAGACAGAGTAAAATAGTCTGGCATTAGACAAAGTAAAATAGTTAGACAGAGTAAAATAATAAAGTAGGATGCATCATATGGCATTGCATTGAGGTAGAACGATTAATTTGTCACAATAGGTGAAAACTATAATTGATTTGTAATGTTTAGTATAACCAATTTCTCATATTAATTTTTATATTTGCAATATTAATTAGTATTTATTAATTAATATTTATATCTATTTTTTGCATTAAAAAATTAAGAGTGATGAACAACATTGTCTGTCATTTACTATTATTTCATCTAGATTCTAGAATTTCTGCAGGAATACCAAAAATCTTATAGGAAATTA